TTTCAGACATTTTGCAATTCAAGACGTCGTCCAAAGCCTGAGACATGTTTTCTTCATTCCATCCACCTTTTTTGGCGTTTAATGCTCTTGACCTCATCCTCCTTTTGGTCTTGTATTAAAAAATTATTTAATATCATTTTACTTAAATTTCCTAATATTAATAAAAACATTATTACTATCACAATCTCCAATAATTTTTTTATTAAAATTGAAAATTGGAGCAAAAGATATTCTAGAACTTTTTAATTTTTAAATTAAAAATTCATAATTAATAATTATTAAAATTGAAATTACAAAAGTAATTGATATTTAGTTAGATATGGATTCAATTCCAATTACTAATAAACCACTGTGACCAGGGTATCATTCTTTATATAAGTATTAGTATTTATTAGAGTGGTTCATTCTGTACACACAAAGCTGGTCCATCCTGTACCACATGGTAGTTGGACACTAAAACGGACATGCCAAATAAATTAAAAAGGATAAAGGTGTCAAATCAACACTATCGTGTTCAGAAAGCATTATTTTATAGAAACTGACAAAAAAACAAAAACATACCGCTCGAAATTTTTCTAAAACACTCAAAAAGAAACAGACGAATATTTCACTTTTTCTCGCAAAAAAAGGAAAAGTGAAACAGTTAAATCGGCTACTAAAAACATTTAATAAAATTTACATCTGGTTATAGAAAGCCAAGAGACGTATATGAACTTAAATTTTAAAAAAATGTTAGCGCATGTTTACTATTTTTAATTTCGAAGGTCCTTTCGGTACCTGGTCCATTCGACCCCAGTCTCCCCTACAGATGATCGTGTTCCAAACTTCCAAATCGTTCATTTAAAGAATTCAACAACGACTCCTTAAGTGCCTTGACTTCTATGTCATTGCCATCTTTTTTTAACAAATTACGCAACACAGTGACAAGAGGTGAAACCAATGATATTCGAGATTCTCCAGAGCTAATCTCACGTGTTACATCTTCAAAAGGACCCAAAACTGATGCAATATTCTCTGCAATGTTCCACTGGTGTACAGTCAAACAAGAAGTACCTTCCACTTCCGAGCAGTACAAGATCAGTGCACGTCTTTGTTCGCACAGACGCTGTAGCATGTAGAATGTCGAGTTCCATCTTGTTCTGACATCCTGTATCAACTGGTGGTTTGGTAAACCAAGTTCATTCTGTGAAAGAAAATATAAGCAACGAATTCTCTTTTTAAAAAATCAAACAATAATAATTAAAATAAATTATGACAAGAAATTTAAAAAAAATTTAAATTAAAAAAAATAATAAAAAAAATATATATATTACAAGTACCTGTATTTCTTTTAAACGACCAGTAGCAGAGGAGGAGTGTTTGAAATGTCCAACAAGTTTTTTTGAAATGTTTAAAATTTCTGAAACTTCTTTTTGGTTGAAAAGACCATCATGAATGCATAGCTGGAGAGTGTGTGCAAAGCAACCAACACTTGAAATATTGGCATCACGGAAACATTAAGATATATTTGCAGCATTGTCACGAAGTACAACACGAATTCGACTGACATCAATTGACCACTTTTCCAATATTTGCTTGAAAGCCGCTAGCAGACCTTTTGCTGTGTGATGTCCATCAAATGGTTTGCAATCTAACACATAGCTTCCATTTTCAAATTCTTCTGTGATCCAATGGACAGTCAAACCCATGTACGATTGCACATTATTATCTGCTGTCCATGTATCAGTAGTGAAGGACAAGTATTCTGCATTGTCAGTCTCCAGCATTATATTCAACTGGTTATAAACTTCATCATGCATATTTGGTAATATGTTCTCAGCAAAATATTTTCTGCATGGCACTTTATAACGTTTCTCCACAACACTCATTAGGGAAACAAACCCTGTAAAAAAATTTACAATAATTTTTTCACTTTAAATAAATTGTATAATTTGACATAAAATTTTTTTAAACAAATTAATAATGTAAAATGATGCAGGTGTAGGATAAAGCAATTATTAGTTTACCTTCTTTTTCAACTACGCTGTATGGTTCACGATCAGTGATAATCATTTTACCAATAGCTTGATGAATCTTGAAAGCAGAGGTGCTATTTATGTCCCAAACTTTTTGTTGTTCAACCTGCTCTATCATAGCAGGGCCGCCAAGAGCCAAACCGGGCTCCAAGTTTGAATGCACGCCGGGCCCCTCATATATATATATATATATCTATATATATATATATATATATATATATATAAATAAACAAATTTAGTTTAAAGAACGTTATATAAATAATAATAATAATAATAAATATATTTTTACGCAGACTACCTACAAACACGTAAAACCTACCAACTGTTTATTTCATACATTTATTTAGAGAAATGGTGATAAAATAAAAATTAAAAAAAAAAACTAAAAACATGAAAAACATTTAAACCACGTTTAACATTAACATTATTTAACATTAGAAACCATTAATATGAACATTTGACGGTTGTGATTCACAAGTGAACTTTTCTACTTTTTTTATTAGCAAAATCATCAACCACATCATCAAAATTTAAAGATCTCGCTAAATCGTTTTCCAGTGCAAGCATTCCTAAACTTGTCAATCGTTCTTCGCTCATGGTGGATCGCAAAAAATTTTTTACTCTTGACAAAAGACTAAACGATCGCTCAGCTTCCGAAACCGTCACAGGCAGAGTGCAGAAGATTCTCAATGCAATTACCACATTTGGAAAAATATTTGTTAGGTTTTGGCTTGCCAAAGTGCTAAGAAGTGTTATTGGTTTCAAATTCATTGAAAAATTTCCTTTTTGAATTTTTTTCAAATCAATTATTTCTAAAAACAATTCTTCTCCGTCAACATCATTATTGTACTTTTTAGACAATGTTTTTACCTTTTCTTTGAGCTCTTCTTCGGTCATAGTTGAATATTTCCAAAGAAACTGAAAAATCTCATTTAAGCTGTTAGCAGCTTGGTACCTTCGTACTAGGTTTCCAATGACACTGTCAAGCAGCACAAAAAAGACATTGATTTTAAAGTTTTCTTCAGGACAATGAATTTGCATTTGTGTGCATTTGTCAGCGAGCAGTTTAGCTTTCTTTCTTCTTTCAGGCAGTTCTTTATCAATATTAAGACATTCTGCAACAGCTTTGCATTCATTAAGTATATCAAACCATTTTGAGCGCAGAATGCTAAGGTTTTCAATTAGTTGCCGCAGATTAACAACCTCTACGTCTAGGGTGGCTTGCCTGGCCTGCAGAATTTCATTCCATATGTTTATTTCACAGAGTACTTTTAACCATATCGATGCCATTAGTAGACACTCAAACGTGTTTAAATATCGTTCAATACCTTTAATTTCAGTTAATGTTTGTGGGGTGAGATGAAGTTGTTTTATAGCATTGAGAGCGGTTTTCAGTCCAGGTAAATGAGCTGCAAAAGGCCGTACACTCTCCACCCTTGCAGACCATTTTGTTTTTGAATGAGAATGTAGCGAAGATCCAATACACTTTTGAAGAATTTCCCACCTGTTATGCAATATGATAATCTAAGAATTTAAACAAACAAATTTGAAAATAATAATTTACCTTTGTGGGCTAGAGCTAAATATGTTATAACACTTTTGAACAATTCCAAAAAACGTAACAGCTTCTGCTGAAGATTGGGCCGCTTCTTCTCCACACAAATTCAGACTATGAGGTGCGCAAGGTGAATATACAGCTACCGGATTTTCAGTTAAAATTCTGCTTTGTACGCCTTTGTACACCCCACTCATATTTGATGCGTTGTCATACCTTAAAAATTAATGCAATACAACTCTGTATATAAAACAACGTATAACAATATTTGGGTAGCTTCAATTAAAAATTATCTGTAAGCTAAAATATAATTTTTTGCTATATTGTTTTCACTTACCCCTGTCCTCTGCAATTTTCAAGTAAAAGATTGTGCTCTTTAAGCGTTGATTTGATTAAATCTGCAATTGCTTCTCCAGTTTTATTGCTGCAGTCGACAAATTTTAAAAATCTTTCGTTGATTTTGTAAACAGTTTCTTCCCCTTCATTGTAAGGAGTCACATATCTTAGGATAAACACGGTTTGTTCAACGTGTGATGAGTCTGGAGTTGAATCAACTATTGTAGAAAAGTATTTTGACTCATTAATTTCGTTCACGATTTTCTGAGTGACTTTTTGTGCACAACACACGATAAACTCATTTTGTATTTCTATGGAAAGGTAGTGAACTGGTAGCCGTTTTTTTTGCATTTGTGGTTGTTTAACCTTTATCATTTAATATAGGGTCATAATGAGCTATAAGTTCTAGTATTCCCAAAAAATTTCCATTTCTAGGATTACCATCCAAATTCGAATCACCCCTTAAGGGCAGTCCTCTTTCACCCAAAAACAAAATTACATGAAGAATCCTTTGTAAGATAGCTCTCCAACGAGCTTTTTCGTTTGTTATCATATCAGTAAGGTTAGTATCAATAGCTGGTTTATTCTTCAATAAGCATTTTTCTAAACTTCTCCACTCAAAATAGCACAATTTGTGGTTAGAACTATTTTCGTGCGGGTTGAGTTTATCGTGAATTCTCTTCCATGAGAGTTTGTTGCCACTAAATCCTTCTGAACATGTTAACATGGACCTATTTGGCAAAGGCAATTTACTAAATATGCGGCATGGAAAACAATAAATTGCATTTTTGATTTTACTCCATGCCAACCAATTTCTTTTGACCTCTTCTCCATTTTTCAATTTACAAACAAGCGCCGATGGAGGAAAAAAGTTCCCTTCAAAGTCTACTGGAAAGTTTTTAGGCAAGGTTGGTGGACCGTTAAGGACGGCTTCATGAACGTCTTTGGTTTGAAGAAATGTGTTTTCTTCTTTTCCTATATCGTACACTGAAAGTGTTGATTTGTTGCAGTTGTTGGCCGCAGATGAGTTTTCACCTTCGTCAACATCAAACGTTACAATTTCAGGAGAAATAACGGTAAGAGATTCTTCCACCAATGTAGTATTTTAAATTTTTTCAGGTTCAGATTCGTTGTGAAAATTGGAACTTGATTGATTAATCATAAAAAAACTGTCACATGTTTTTTGGTTTTTTCTTGCTAACGTTTCTCGTTTTTCTTTTTCCTTTCTTTTTGAAGCACCTGATTTATGCTGATAGCTCATTTCTCTGATTCACTCTTGTTTTGAGGCAACAGTTAAAGAACGCTACACTGAAAAACAAACAAATTAAATAAACGATTGACATCACCATGACAACACCGGAAAAACCGACTTTACCATTGAGATGGACTTAATTTAATACGCAATTGCATGTGTAATTTTTATGTTAATAATTTATATTAGTTTTTCTTGAAAATGTTGACATAATCCTAATCCACTTTTGCAATTAAGTTCAGCTTTATATATTTAGCGTATTCTGGAAAAATTAATGTTATATCGCAATTTTAATCTCGGTCGGTTCACTTTTACAGACAATACAATATGCTGATTTGTATCGTCTGTTGTACGTCACATTGCATAGTAAATTTTAATAAATTAAATAATCACTCTTTTATGTGAATGTAGAAAATGATTATGAACATTCGGAAAAATTCATATTTTTGTGCAATACATTCAGACAAAATTAATTTCTCACTGAAGTGATATTTCGCGTCTAAGTAATTTTTTCGAATCTTTGAAACCACTTTTTTTCAAAAAATTGGATAGAAAAAATCATTTTAGGGCCCGTCCCGGGCCTCCTTGAGGGCCCGGGCCCCAAGTTTTAGACTTGGCTGACATACCCTCTCGGCGGCCCTGTATCATAGTAGGCTGTATTGAAGATGAAGAGACTTTTTTTGGCTTCTTCCACTTGTTTTTGCATTTCATCATATTCTTTCTGGTGTTTCGTGCGAAAGTGTGTTAGCAACGCTGAAGTGGAAAACTTCTTCACCTCTTTTGATTTTCCGCCACGTGAAATAACACTGGGACACAACAAGCACTGGCATTTGGATGCATCATCAGGCTGTACACTAAAATACTCCCACGCTATACTTGTTTTTCCTCTATCTTTCATGTTATTTACTGATTTCGACAAAATGGCCGTAATTAGAATGGAGGAAGAGAGACGTTTGAGTCCTGTTGAAATATGAAATATAAATAAACCGACGTTTACGTTTTTCACGTTTTTATAAACAACAGAGATGTTTACTTTTGAAACTTCCTGTAGCGTGAAAATAACTTTCGGATGCATACTAATTTGCTGTATTTGCTCATAAATAGTTTTAAAAAAATTTTTTAGTTCATGTTTTCGCTGAATCTTAGGACGAATTTTTTAGCCTATATGCTACAAAATTTGGAAATCCGGCCAAAATTTGGCCGAAGCCGAATTTGGAAAAATGGCCGAATTTCGGCCGAAGCCGAATTTCGGTTCAGCCCTAATAATAAATGACAAAAAATATCAAACACAGCATCAACACCAACAGTTACACAAGCCATGATTTGTAACAAATGGTTCGTTAGTAAATCATTCATTTTTTAATTTATTTAATTGATAATTTTCAAATTATATTGAGTTATATTAATATATTTATAATAAATTAAAATACAAAATATTGAAATTGTAAACATTTCATGAAATCTACATTCATTTGCATTCTCAGAAAAACCAGACATCAATACAACCTTAATAAGGCTGGTTACAGAGGTTGAAAAAATAATGAAAAATGATGTAGCCCTTGGATTCAACATGGTTGGGAAAAAAGGGAAAATGCCATTTGGAAGTTCAAAATTATTCAAGATTGTATACAGTAAGTATAATTTAAAAACCATTTTCTTCAATTCGTTTCAGTTCAATTTTAATATTTTTTTTCTTAGTATTCATTGATCTTTTTTTATAATAGTTATTTTTTGTCTTGCCCGGTTCCAGCCATTGTAATCTCCACATTTCTCCAAGGCTGAATCCCTTGGTATAGTCTACCAAGGGACTCAGCTTTGCAGTAGCTACAATAAACATATGGAGTACTCCATGTTTTATTGTAGCTACTGCAGGTTCATCTCGGAGAGCTGACTCCTGGTCAACTCAGCCTTACATCTTCTCGGAATAAATTTATGTTAAAAATTTTTGTAAAATAATTTTTATTCATATAACAGGATCAGTCAAAAAAAATGCTTCAATTGGAGAGGTCACGAAAAGAGATGTGGGGTTGGCAGTGGCTAAGTGGTTGACTGGTGCTCGAGACAGAGATGGAAAAAAGGCATCTCGGTTGAACAAATCAAATTCATCTGGTAAAAAGGCATATCAGTTGAACAAATCAAGTTCATCTGTAAGAACAAATGAAGGAAATTTTTCAGATGAGGCATCAGATGAAGAAGATGAAAATGATAATTGTGCATAAATGAAATTTTTTATACTATAACATTTTATTTTTAGTATTTATAACCTGACTTTCTCATTTAATTATTTTTTTGAACATTGAACATTTAGTATTTTTTGTTGTGGAAGTTTTATCAAAATAAAATATACTTCAAAAAATGCAACGTGTGCGTGCGTATGTATACTTTTAAGCCCATTTAGCCCACGTAAAGCCCGTTTACATTCTCTTATTTTGCCAACATGGGTCCCACGCGAATTGAACAGTCATTTTGTTACCGGTCCCACGTGGGCAGCCCATATGGGTGTTATATGTTAGCCCACTTGTGACCTATATTGGTCCCATCTTTCATTGTTCACTAGGTGGTTTCTATAAATATAACAGTCTTATTTTGATTAAATAAATTTTTACTAAAATAAACCAAAATAAATTCTACATGACACATAACCATATAACTAGGCTTACAAATAAAACAAGTTTATTTCAAAAAAAATATTAAAACTATTTTTTAAATAATTCTCTCACCAGCCCATACCTATTTCTTGGGCAGTTCTACTGGATCAATGTTATGAAAAAGTGACAGCCAGAAATAAATTTAGTTATTGTATAAAAAATTATCATTGTTAGAAAACGACTTCGTAGAAAATCTTGTTGTATACAACGTAAGCAGTGAGTCCATAATAATCGATTGCTTTGTTCGCTTCAAATCATTATATCATTTATTTTATCGTTCATCATTTATTCATTGTTGTAATGTTATATACCAAATTTTCAATAATTTCCTTGAATAAGAATGGTTAGCTTGACCGTTTGATTCACGTGAGTTATGTCTGTTAATACACTCCACATATTGGAACATGCAATTATGTATTTATCTACGAATTGCAATTTTATTAATGTGAAAGTTTTGGGCATTCGCTATCGCGTGTTGAAGTTTGCCGATAATTTTGGCAAGGCAAATATAATTTTTTTATAATAATTAAATTTCAATGCTTTATTTCATTCTTCTGTATTTCCAATTTTCTGTAAAAATCAGATTACATTGAAAGATAATTTTTAACTGTACGAAAATTATTTTCGTTCCATTTAATCTGTAACTACCGGTCAGAAATTATAATTGATTCAGCTGAATATAATTTGAACTAATATAATGTGAAATTTTTTTTATTTTTATGCAATTTTTGTTAAATGCGATTGTTCAATCTAGTTTTCAAATAAATAACTGCAGACGAAACTGAACATTGGTTCGCCAACTAGAATTTGTCATACCTCCCTTGACAGAGTTGTTGATATTGGTTTCAACTTTTGTTTTAATAAAATTACATCAAGGTTTTCACAAAACAAGGAAACAGTATTTTTATGTTCCTATAATGTATATAAAAAGATATTACTTAAACATACCATTTACATTTCAAAATTAAAAAATAACAAAAAACAAGCTTATTAAAAAGTCAATATTCAAACATATGTAGATATTCCCTATCTATGTAATGGTAATTAAATGTGAAAAAGGTCAAATTATCAAATATGCATATATAGTGTAAAGTATAGAGATCCCACCCAATCCACAGGTATCCACTCCACAATGTCATTCGAAACAGTCAGCTCAAACGATGCCATGACCGATGACCGAACACAACAAACCATCAGCTTATTTATTGATCTAAATAAAGTGGATTGTCACACACTGACAACAGAACCTCATCTTTGCGTAAACCCAGTATAGGTTTCTAACTCAATATTTTTTATAAATTTAAAACTATTTTAGTAGGACTCTATGAATTTGTCATATGATTACATTCGCAAACTTTTTCAACTTCATTTCAGAAGTAATGGCCATTAGCCATTTTAAGATTTGGATCATACGGAGTCTAATTGATCAGTTTGAACTGTTGAATCACAACTAGAGACGTTAACCTAATAGCGTTTGTGTTACTATTTTCAATATTTTATCTCTTGCGGATCCCCTGAATCTAAACGGCTTAGAATCTTCTTGCACTAATTATAATGAACGAGGATGAGGATTGCTGTTCATTTTTCATTAAATGTTTTTTTATAGGGCAATGTTAAAATAATAAAATAAATGCAAGTCAACCTTCGTTGTGTTATCAAAAAAGCGACCAGAAAATTTGCATCAATTACCAATTGTATGCTGCAAGATTATTTTGACCGACAGGAAACGTCATGAAAACTTTTGAGGAAAGATCAAACAGGTTTCAGAAAAGACAGAAGAACATTGCAGCAAATACCAATGTTAATGGTATTCTAAGTATGTGCTAACTTAGCTAATTCTAATGTTAAGATTAGTACTGATGGAAGATGCTAGAATTAGTGGGCGAAGGCGGCTCTGATATAAAAAAAAACTAACGTTTAACGTTTATCATATTCGAATGAATAGAAAAAATCTATCAAGATGGTACTTAGTGAAATTTGATTCAAGTAGAGAATCTATAATTTATTCTAATTAGATGGCAGAGAACGCGTGATATGCCGAAAGTGCATAAAATGATAATGCCAAAAATGTCTAATCATCTGTAAAAAAATAAATATAGCAATTAAGTTCTCTTAAACAATTTGTGAGCATGTCTTCTAGATTGAAGATCAAGGGCTATAAGGCTATACTTCAATTCTCATTTCTAAAAACTGTCAACAAACGCAACGCATCCTGTTTGTTTATATCAAATAGCCGGGAAATAAAAATATTTGATTGTGTTTGTTTTACCGCCCGTAAAATTTAGTTTAATTTATTTTTCTCTTCCGAACTTTCAGAAACTGAGAACAGATTTAGCTGATTTTGCGTATTATTAAAAGGTTAAATTTATTGAGTTTATGTTTGTTATTTTTAAAGTTTGATTAGGCTTACTTTACGACTACGCTGGATTAGCATTTTTGCCCATTTAAAAGTCTTCCATTGATTTTTGCCCCCACCACACACACATATACACTCAATGACACAAGGACCAGCTCTTGCATTGTTTTTAATTGAGTTTACGATTTAATACAATACTGTATGTTACACGATTTTTTGCAGAACATTTCAATTAACAATACATTTTAATTTTTAAAAGTAATTAGAATAGAATCTAATCTAACTAATTAATTAAAATTTTAATTATTTAATTATTAAAATGATTAGCTTGAAAAATAGCAGTCAAATATTTAATAATTTATTTATTATATTACAAACTTGAAAAAATGAATTATGAATAAAAATATATTAATTTATTTATTTAATTTATATTTTAATATGGAAATTAAATTGATTTACAACATTATTTACAGAACAAACAAATGGATGAAGATGGAACTTCTGATTTGTCCGATATTATTTCTGTAGATCAGTTTGGCATACCAGGTTAATACTAAAAATAAAAACTTAAATATTGCAGTTCATATGTAATATTTGTACTTAGGATGACAATCTGCAGTTTCAGTACATAGTAGTAAACATATAATATTTATATATTATTGTTTTGTTTATTGTTTTATTTATTTGGGATTATTTTTTTTATTGAAAGAATACAGAGAGTTAATAGTCCCAGATTTAGATGGATCAAAGGAAAGTGATAAAAAAGATTCCAGGTTGATGATCTCGAAAATTGTAAATGAGAATTTCAAATCTTATGCCGGAATAAAGCAGTTGGGACCTTTTCATAAGGTTGGCTGGAATAGAATAAAAATCAGTATTTAATTGATACTATAATAAATATATAATAAATGTTGAAATATTTTTTCCAATTTTTACCAACATATAGAAATTCACAGCAATTATTGGACCTAATGGTAGTGGAAAATCAAATGTTATCGACTCAATGCTCTTTGTTTTCGGTTATCGCGCTAACAAAATTAGATCCAAGAAGATAAGTGTTCTGATTCACAACAGTGAAAACAATCAGGACTTTGAAAGCTGTACTGTGAGCGTGCATTTTCAGAAAATCATAGATGAAGGAGTAAGTTTCATTCACTTTGATGATATTTGTTTTCACATATGTTTGGTAAACACTATGTAAAAATTTAAAATTTATTTCAAAAAAGTTTTTGAATGTATGTTATTAGCCAGGTGATAATGAGTACAGAGTGGTTGAAGGGTCTCAGTTTGTGGTCTCAAGAACTGCCTTCAGGGATAGCAGTTCTTTTTATAAGATAAACAACAGGAAAGCTCATTACAGGGAAGTTGAAACTTTCCTTAAAAATGTTGGAGTTGACCTGGTGCACAATAGATTTCTCATATTGCAAGTTTGTAATTTAAATTTTCAACTATTTTTTTTTTACTAAAATAATTATAAACAACGTGGGATATCTCTCGACTGATTGCAAGTGTTTTAATAAAATTTGATGGTTCCAAATAAATTGAACTCATTGAAAAGGGAGAAGTGGAGCAGATAGCCATGATGAAGCCCAAGTCTCAGAACAAGAATGAGGATGGCATGCTGGAGTTTCTTGAGGACATCATTGGAAGCAACAGATTCAAATCACCCATTGAAACTTTGAGTAAAAGAATTGAATTCCTTGCTGAACTGAAAACTGAAAAAGTAATTTTGTGAAAATCATCTTAACAGGCATATGAATCGGAATTGTTAAAATTTATTATTTAGTTACTACAAAATATGTCCATGGTGAAGTATTTTGTAACATTTCTGCAGTATGTTGTTACTGGAGTGGTGGCAAAATTTTCAAATAACCAATTAAATTTTTCAGTTCAACCGAGTGAAAACTGTTGAAATTGAGAAAAATGAACTGGAGGCTGACAAAAATGAAGCGTTGGAATTTCTCAGCATACAAAACGAAAACATAAAAAATGAAAATTTAATATCTCACAACAAGCTGTAAGTTGCACGGAATGTTTATAAATAATAAATTAGTAACTATGAATCAAATATTCATGAAACTATGTATGTTTCACAAAATGAAAATATAGGTGAGGAATCATTTGTTGATGTAGTGAGATAAGAGTTTATGCTTCTTTATGTCTACTGATTTCATGACAAAACTTCCAAAATTAATTAACAATTCATTAAGTTTACAAATTTTTATTTGCTTGCTGTAAGCATAAGAGGAAGATGTAAAATATAAACATGTAAAGGAGTGTAGAAGCTTGTGAGGATGGGAGTTGGACAGGATGGTTGGAATAAGTTGAATGGAAAAAGCAATGTTGACATGTTGTTTTGTATAGCAAGATAAGTAAATATGAAGGGAAAAAGGAAGATGAAAACAAACAAATCTATCTTTATACCTTTTCATTCTGGCTATTTGCTAGACTAGTTTTTAAATTTTACATTTAATAAATAGCGTATTTTATAAAATATTATTTTCAGGTTTCATTGTGAAAAACAAATGGAAGAAAAATCAGTTTCTAAAAACGGGATCATTGATGAGTTGAAGGAATTTGATGACAAAATTGAGAAGATTGTTAGTGAGAAGAAGGCCAGAGCCAACGAATACAAAGAGGCCATTAAGTTAGTTTTGGTCTAACTTGGTTGTTATTACATTGTGACTGCCTGCTGGCTGATGCCTCCTAATTCCATGATGTACCATACAACGTAACATAATGATAAAAAACAACGTAATAATG